GTACAAATTAATCAGTAGCACTGTTCTAATTAAAACTGAATGTGAAGCACCACTTGGATGCCTCCTGTGAGTGTTTGTTTGCTGGCTAAGGGATAGTTTCTGTCCCTAAATGCAGACACAGATGCGGGTTTGGTTAATGTAATCCCTCGTATCCTTTCTTTGGGTAAGACACACCAGTTACAGTCCCCTCTGGATTTGCTGCCTGCCCCTACACACAAATCCTGCTGGAGCAGTGTGTAACAGCTCTGAAATAATCCACTGACCCCTGTAATTAGGTGTAAGTAAAGGTTTGGTCCAGAAATGTATCTGAGTTGCTAGTGCAAATGTTCTCTCCCACAATTGCTGTCTGTACATGTAACCGAAAATGACACTGGCCACCAGAAAAGTCACTAAATGGTGCTCTCACAAGTCAGACACTTCACTCATTTTTAGTACTGCTGTGTCAAATGACCCACAGACAACCAACACCCCTGTGAACCTGCTGGCATGTTCTATAAGTGACCAGTGCAGCATTGTGGTTCCAGAGAGGACAATTCAACCACCACACAGGTAATACTTTTCCTCTAGCCCTGCCCCTGCTCAGCTGACTTTCTTACCTCAGAGTGTCACCAAGAGAAGGTGATGTGTGAAACTTGATACACCCTATACAGAACAGGAGCACTGCCCTAAAGGGACACATTTTATTGCTCTAAGTTAAATACAATGAGAAAAAAAAATTCAAACTCAAGAAACAAGCTCCTGAGAAGGAATCTGGTTATGTTTTATTAACAGCAAGGGTTGTGGGAATTGTGTTAAACAGTAGAAAGAAGGGAAACGTTCTGGGGAATTTTGGAGGCCCGAGGACTTAAATTCAGGAAATAGCTTTGGTCCTCTGACAAGAGGAGGTTGTTTTGTCAAGTTAAAACAGTGGTTTCAGCAGAGCACAGTCAGCTCTGCATGTTGTGATGAGCAACTTGGTCTCCATGGGTTGTACCTGGGCTTGATGCCACATGTGGGGTTCACCATGTATTTCACCATCTGAAAATTACTCAACTAGAGTTAACCCCTGACAGTCAAAAGCCTGGGCTGCTGTATTGGTAACACTAAAAGGCCTGAGTAGTGCAGTTACACACATGGTGAGTGGTGTTTGCCTAGAGAAGAGGCTTCTGGCACGAAGAGAGGAGGTTTTGGATGAAGTCAGAGGTACACAGCTTATCCTAAATTACCTCCTTAGTCCTTACCTGCTTAGTTCTATTTTCTAGCTACATTTTTGGCTCAATACACAGAAGCAGAGGGAGTGAACTAGGCTGGGTGGGGTTACTATCAATGACTGGATTCAGAGTTTGACACTGCTAACATGTGAATTTTAATTTAGAATCAACCTGTACCTCAGAACAACTGCTTCAAAGAAGTGAAAGCAGAGGTGGGTGCAGCTGCTGGTGCCATTTGTGCAGACACTCAATGGCAGCAGCTCCCTGAAGGCCACCTTCCCTCTGTCCAGAAATGTGTAAGGACACTGCAGCAGGAGCCCTTAAATCTTGGTATTCAGAGAGTGCACAGAAACATTCAATCAATTATCACAAGGACTCCCAGTAAGTGGTGACTGTCAGCACTTCCAGAACTCTGCTCAGCCATGCTGTGCAAGCTCTAAATGAGGCAGAAATATTGATTCACTGCTGTCTTCAGGAGCTGGTGAGTCAGTTCCTGTCAGCTCAACAAAATGCAAAGTTTAAACAATGATGTTCCATAAGCCCTTTTCAGAAATTAGTTACATCTCCATGCGAGCATAAACTGACAAAATGGGCTGCAGTGAGACTGATTTCTCTGCTGAGAAACAAAGAAGCACTTGTATTTCCTGGAAGTTACCAGAGCACTGAAGTAGCACAGATGTCTTTAAATCTCCCTGCTGTTGGTGGATTTGGGGTAGCCTGGCAAAGCTCCCCTTTTCCATCTGCAGTGCAGTTCAGGGTACTATGAGAAACACAGAAGCTTTAAGTGTCCCATCCAGACCTGCCCACCACGAGCAATTGGTAAGTGATGCAGGAAGGACAATACAGAGCAAATGAAACCAGGCACTGAACAAAGGAGGCAGAACTTAAACCCACCCCTGTGCAGGTGCTCCCAGGGCCGTGTTGCTTTTCAGCGCATTAACCCCCGTTTCTCTCACTGTGAACCCCAAAACTGCCTGTCCCTGCCTTGCTGCTCTTCCCTGCCCTGGGCTCTGAAATGTTGGTTCTCTGAGCCAGCTGGGAGCAGGGATGGGGCAGCAGGTGAGGCAGCTGGGCCCCAGCCATGGTTGTCCGTGCAGAGCTGGGCAGGACCTGCTCCTGCTGTTCCTGAGACGAGCGGAGCACCTTGGGAAGGCTTTTCCTGGAGAAGCACCGTTTTCAGCCCTAATGGTTACAACACCCCCATGGGAGTGACTGTCCCACCCTGCCACAGCCCCTGCAGGACAACAGCCCCTTCCCCAGCTCTGAGAGCTGTTCAAATTCCACATTTCCCTGCACCTGAGCAGTCCTGCTGCTTCACGCCTGACCACGCACGTCACACAGGCAGGAGCTGGAAGGCAGCGGAGCAGGAGACAGGTTGGATCTCAGCCTCAGCCCTTCTCAAAGTGCCACTGGTGGTTCCCATCATGGCTCTTCCACAGATGGAATCAAAGCACAGCCACAGGACAACACTGGCTATTGGTGTAGGTACAGATATATCTATCAGTGGATATAAAAACATTCATTTGGTGCCTTCCTTGTCCTTTTATAAAATCCTTTTATAAATCCATAGTGATGACACACTGTTGCAAGCTCAGGATACCAGGGAAATCTCAGGGAAGAAAGGCAGTCTTTATAGGACATTTTTTTCCTCTGGGAATCCTGGTAACAGACAGTATCCCTGATCTCCACCTCCCAGTGCTGGTGTGGTTTCACACCTGTGTGGTTTTCCTGGAGCACAAGTCCAGCTGGCAGAGCCACCACTGTGCTTAGAGCCCACCCAGCTGGTCTGGGCTCTGATTCCCATTCGGTGTCGGACTAGACAATGACTTCCTGGAATTGGACCTGAGGAAACAAGCACAGGTGACAGACAGGGCAAGCAGGCTGGTTTTATTTTAGGAAGCAACATGAATTAAGAGGTTCCCAGCCAGGCCAGTCATATCTTACCCCAGAGGACCCTCTGTACAGCTAATCCCCATATCTCCATTTCATGAGGCTTTTGGAGCTGCCCCAATTTCACCCTCAGTCACTGGGGACCAACAGTACAAGGTCATTGACAGTCCAGCCCTGACAGAGCAGCTGCCTTTGCTCCCCAGCTCACTGCAGCAGTGAATTACAGAGGGGGCCAGAAACTTGGCTAAACTCATTTGGAGGAATATATTTCCCTGGAGTGGGTCTTTGTTTGCCATTGACAGTTACTCTGCTCCTGTATCTCCTCCTATTTCTATTACTCATAACGACAACCCATGACATTTAACACAAAGCCAAGCCCACTTACTTCACTTCCTCGTACTTTTTGCCTCGATAGAAGTTACTCTTCTTAATCAGATACAGCAACACCAGGTCACAAAAGAAGGCTCCCTGCAAAGAGAAAGAACTTGTGTTTTATCTTTGGAATAGAAGAGGAAGTGTTCTGATCTTGTTAGCAATGAGCATTAATTAAAGAATAACTCATAGAAGCTCTGTTTTCATTCATCCTCCAACCATTTTATGGGGTATATATATTATATTTCTCCTCCTCACAGATACAGGAGGGGTCTGGGTCCCAATATGATACTTTGAGACAAAACATTCACTTACTGCTCCCATGAGCGCCAGCCCCGAACTGATGTTGATAACGGTGGGAATGATGTTAAATTTCCCTGCCTGGAAGAAGAAAAGTCATGAAGGAATCGGTGAGAGAACAACTCACAGAACAAACTGAAGGGTGTGGTACTGCCCAGGGGAAGCTGCTGCTGCTGCCTGTGGGTGTGTTTTGTTCCCATGGAGCAGACACAACCAAAGCAGATCTGCAGTGAACAATCTTGGAGGCTAAAGGTCTGTGTGTGCCTCAGATCCAACTGTCCCTGGCTGCAGTTCTGAGCTTGCATCATCCCTGGATTAGGCTTTTTTTTTTTCCTGCAGTGCATATGCATAGAAATAAGTCTCTGAGGTGTATTTACTTCTGTTGGGCTTTAAATGAGCCTGCTTTTAGGTAGAGGAGGTGCAGGCTCAGCTGCATTCCAGGTCATCTCTCTAATGCAGGGTTAGCTCCACATGGACAGATGGAAAGAGCCCTTTCCTATGACAAGCCAGAGAGGCTTCCCTCCTCCCAGAGCTGCCTTCCCACTGAGAAATGTCCCCAAGTTTTTTGTCTCCATGCTCTGGAATATTCTGGCCTGGGACCTCACCTTGCCATTCACCATCACATCGAAGCGGATTCCGTAGGCTTTGATGAGCGTCCGGTAGTCGACCCCCTCAGCATCCCGGTAATATTTGGCAAACCTGGAGCACAGCAATGCTGGTCTTAACTCCATCTGCCCCTCTGAATTCCCTTGTCTCTTCAAGCAGATCTGTTCCCCTGTCAAAACCAACTTTAGCCTGCCAGGAGCACAATTCCCTCCCTCCTTCCCCTGCAGCGCACTGTGCTTGGCTGGGGCAGTGCCTGGCACAGGCTGGTGCCACTCCACTGCCAACCTCCAACTCCTGAAGTCAAACCAGCCCAGCCCAACTGCAGTACTGATCATGGCCTCCTCTTTACCCACCTGAAGTTGTACCCAGAAGAGATGGACGTTTCTGCAGACTTGTTATCCAGCCGGCTAAAAGAATAGTGAGGATTACATTCAGAAGGGGCTTTATCAAGATCACAGTTCCATTCAATCTGAATTCCTATCACACCACCCTTAACAAAAGAGAGAGACAGGGTGAGTTGTTTAAACTTAGTTCAGTTAAAGTGTCTTCAAATTTGTCAGGCCCTTGGGCGAGTTTTCCCCAGGGACAAAAACAGCTGCACTTCTGGTCCCAGACATGAGCACACACACCCCTGGATGGGCTGAGTTCAACTGTGTGATATTAATCCCATTACTCTACACACAACCTCAGCCTTTCCTGTGCTCATATCTGAAGAGCTTTCTTCCAGGACACTGATTTTACTAATTTAAGTGGCTGTAACATACTTCAATTGAGAAGATTCTTTTTTATACAGGGACAGAGTTCCTAAAGTAAGTTCTGGGTTTAAACCAATGATGCAGTAATGCTGAAATTAAACAAAGAATCCCTGCTGGCAGAGGTTTGGGCAGAATAACAGATAACTGACCTGACTAGCTCTTCCAGAGGACCCACATCACCCTGCCTCCCATTCCCTGGGGACAGGATAAGTGGGACCAGCTTGACTTTAAGCACTGCCATCTCTCCAGAGCAGCCTGGACAGGAGCAGTTCCCTGGGCAGTGGGCAGTGACTTCCCTCACGGCCACCCAGCACACAGAACAGCCAGTTGGGCAGACATGTGAGCCCAAGGGACACTCCTACCCCCAAGGCCATTTCCTGGAAGTCGCCCCCGGCCCAGCGGACGATGTTCCCCAGCACGAAGATGGGGCAGTAGGGGTGCTCGGCGCTGTAGCGGCAGGTCTTCAGGTAGGACTCATTGTCAGTTGCCAGCACGTTCATCCTGCATGTAGAGAACAGGGAAATCTGCCTTATCCCCCTCTTTCCTTGCCTCCACAGCCTGCACCAAGACTGCAGAGACAACAGATTTTTCCAACAGCCCAGAAATGGCCCCGTGCCACCAGCCCTGTCACCCCATAAGCCGCCCCACTGCTGGCCCAGGGAAAGCAGCCTGCCCCTCCCAAAATGACCTCCAGGACAGACAGGGACTTGGCCATCTGGATCTGGGCTCAAGAAAGGACTGGCATGGAGCAGGTTGCCAGACTGCTCCAGGGCCACCTGGCTTCTCAAGGCAAACCAATAAGGATGCTAGAAATGCCTATCTGAGCCCAGGAGAATAACCAGAACACACTCCTTTCTACACTGCTTTAGTTTGCTCATTCTGCAGCAGCAAAAGCAAACAACTATTTTTAAATTTGCATTTTTCCGAGCCTTGTCCAGGCACTGTCATTTTTATGGAAGAGGAGGAATATCTGTTGAGCAGAAGCAGCTCAGGACTATGCCAGGTCCATCTGCCTTAGGAGCTGTGCTGCATCCCAAGCTGTAGGAGCCACCAGACCTCACCTGGGGAAGGACAGCCTTCCTTTTCCCAGTTGCTCTCTGAGAAGCTCCAAGCCCTCATTATCTCCTTGTTTCTGCACAGCCTGAAGCCAAAGCAGAGGGAATACCCACCTCCCCAGCCCAGCCCTCCAGCAGGAGAAGGACAGTGGAGCAAACAGAGGTTATTGGTTCCATGGTGGAGAGGACAGAGGGATCTCTGAGCACCTGCACTTACTTGGAGAACTTAAACTTGGGGAAGCGAATCGAGTTCTTGATGTAAACAGTGAAGTTTTCTGCACTGCCAAGAAGTGGTTTCCTGGAAAAGAAAGGTTTGTTCTCTGTCTTAGATTTGTACCCTGCCCACATGCTAAATCTTGAATTGCCATTTTAGAAACAGCCTCATCCAACGGGTTGGATGGCACCAGGCCAGCCATGCCACTTTTCCCACACTGCCAGCAAGGAGTTGGTGAGGAGGGTGCAGGTTTAAGGGACACCCTGAGAGCTGGGAACAGCCCTGGGACAGCCAGTGAGCTAAGCAGGGGGAGCAGAGGGCCAGTCCTGCCATGGGGACCTTGCAGAGCTCCCTCCTGCCCTGAACAGCCAACATTCAGCAAGCACCCAAGCAGAGGGAACACAGAAACTGCCCTGAGTGACACACAAGCCAAGCAACTCAAGCTTGGAAACAGGATAGGACGGCCACGTACTTGGGCTTGGATCTTTTCTCCACTGGGCACCAGGCCAGTATCTCACAAGTCCCTCTGGTGCTGTCCCTGTCTTTCAAACAACGGCCAGTCTTAACCCCTGCGAGCAGACACACAGAAAAGGTCACACAGAGCAGTCACCTCCTCTCCTTGCCTACAGGGCACATGAAAATAAATGATTTTCTCTCTCCTCCCTGCTGTGAAAGGGCATCTCAGCTGGAACAAACACTCTCTTGTTGCTTCTCTGAGCAGCCCGGGGTGCCCCGGCCCAGCCACCGCAGAGCTGTAAGCAAGGCAGCAACTCAATGGAAGATAGTAAAGAAAGGAAAGGCTTTGCTGCTCTCTGTAATCAGAGATCTCTGGGAGTGTAACCAGGCTGAGGACACCAAACACAGCACAGGAGGAAGGACCCTTCCCTTACCATTGCCAGCCACCACTGCTTCCCCTTCCAGGCAGTCCTCGTCCTTGTGACACAGGGCATCGGGAATGCTGGCACTCTGCAAAGTGCAACAGAATCACAATCCTTGAAATAGTTTCAGATCTTATTTTTACAAGACATCAACATCAAATCTTTAGTTAAAGATAACTTGATTTAGTTTTGTCTACCTAAACAATCTTCTGTTGTTTTAGTCCTCTGGGGTGTAAAGGTCACTGAACACAACTGCATGTTTTGTTAATGTAATTCCTTCTTCCTATCATTAACCAATGTTTAGGTAAGAACTACAAACTTACAAAGTTGAAGCTATTTAGTAAAATTCAAGCTAACACTGTTTACTCCCTTTCAATATGAACACTAAAAAGATGCAGCTGAAGTGGTAACTGTGGGTCATGCAAACAGCTTGGCATATCACACCACCAGGAGCACCAGGATTCACACACAGTCCTGATTTTGGGTTCTGCTCAGTCTGGAGAGGGACAGACTGTGAAAAAACCCAAACGTTACCTGGCACTCACCAAAACCAGGTACTTCACCCTAAGAGATAACCCTACCTCGGGGATCTAAGCTAGGAGCTCTCCAGCCCAAAACTGCCCCTCTCCCGGCTGCACGGTGGGTTCCTGCAGCCACTAGAGGACAGCCGTGTCCTCAACAATCCAGCTGTGCTCCCGGCCCTGGAAAATCCACCTCTGCCAGAGGGACACAGCGCTCCCTGCACTGCCAGCCCCTCCTCCCCCAGCCACGTCTCCACAGAGGACATTTCCACATGACATAAAGACCTCACACCTCTGGCCCACGGGGCATGTTCTGGAAGGTGCTAAGAACCCTCCTGTGTCTGGAAGGTAATGAAAGCCTGAGTGTTCAGCCCTTCCCAGGATGGGGCTCTTAGAGAGTCTCCTCTACCCGTAACTACACTGAGTCACCTCCAAGCTGTTTTCCCACGGCCTTCTCTGACCCTGAGCAATCACTGCCTGGTTTGGGCAGAAATCCAACACCTTCACCTCAAGTCAGGAAGGCTCTACAAGATCAGTGCCTCTGGAAATTAAGACAGCTGAGCCTCCCAGGTTTGCAGTAACCAGTCTGATTTCCCAGCTGAGATATCACACTACAGAGAAAAACCGTTCGCCTTCCGCCCTTCCTCTGGTCGTTGCTCCCCAGGAGTCCTCTGTCAGTTCTTACCCCTGGTTTTGTAGGGGTCTGGGGGCCAAGGGGCTCAGTTCTTCCTACCTCAGGACAGGTGGCTTGTCTCTGGTTTGGGGTCACGATCAGATTCGTCATGACAAAGAAGACGCTTTCACCCTAAAATAAACAGAGTAAAGCAGGAAAGGTTAGAAAACCTGGTTTATTTTCAAAGTACTTGTTACAAGGAGGATGCAGCTCTCTGCAGAAGAGTACAACCTCCCTCTCTTCAGAGGGCTTTCAGGCTGAGATACAACAGCACCCTTTGTCTGCATATTTGTTTGGATGAGGTCCCTCCTGCTGTGGGTGCACACACAACCATGAGAGCCAGCCCACGGTCCTGGGGGGAGGCAGGGCAGCCCTGAGCATCTCTCACAAAACTCCCACACTCACCACAGAAACCCCCTTCCAACACACAGCCCTGCCTGCTGCAGATAAAAATCGGAGATCTCGGGTTTCCCTCTGTGAGAACAGAGCTTGGAGGAGACAGGGTTTCTCCCAGCCCTCACTGCCTCCTGCTCCACTACCCAGGTCTCTCCAGCACACACCAGCCCACCCAGACCCACCAGGACCCTTCTGCCCAAGGTGCCATGACAGAGATCACACAGCAGTCAGCAGAGCACTCAGTGCACTGGCAGCAGGCATTCAGGAACTCCTCAAAACCCAGGCAGGATGCAGCTCACGGCTGAGCTGAGATGTGCAGCAGTGAAACACCAATTCACACATGGGGCAGGAAAGCTTGTGAGGCTTTGTGGTCTCACAGCCCACAGACATCACTGTGAGCCCATGGTCTAACACCCTGAGGCTGCCGGAGGCAAGTGGACCCCCGGGCACAATATTTGTGCTCCTGAAGCCACAGCCCAGCCAGCTGGGTGGCACAGCACAGCAGCCCAGGGGCAGAGCTGGTTCTCTTCACTCAGCCCACCACACTGCAAGGCTTCCCAGTAAGCCAACATGCAGTAACAAAACCATTGAGGCACAGGAGAAACACATGGCAAGTTCAAATACTGGTCAGTGCCACCATTTCATCCCTGGGTGTGCACCCCAGCCACTTGTTCAATGGCCCCAAGGCTGGGACTGAGGCAGCACAAGCACATTCCCAACCCTCCTGCTGCACAGCACACGTGGGGCTGAGGCTTTGCACTGAAACTGGTGGAAGCAGAGAGCACAGTCACAGGTCTGGGGAGCGCAGCAGGAGGAAGGGAAGTTTTATTCTTATGTACAGGCAGTTAAATTGTTCAATTTATAGCTTTCTGCCCTGTCAGCACAGGACCCTGGGTTTCCCCTCACACCCTTCCATGCAGGGAAAGCACAACTGCCCCTGGCAAGCACAGCTGGGCAAATTCCAACTGTTGTTGGGCCACATCTGCTGCCACCTCTCCCCTGTGCATCTCACTGTGTCCAAGCCAAGGAAGCAGCAGGGCAGGTTTAACCAGACACGTTTCCAGCAACCCTCATCACTCTTAATTGCACCACATTTTCTTTCCACCTCCCCCTGCTCTGTGCACACCTGTTCTAATCCAGGAACAGAGGTGAGCAGACACTGCTCAGCTGAGAAATCCACGGGATTTCTGCTTCCCAAACATCACGGACCTGAGAAACCAGGTTGCTTTAGTATTTGCAGGAAAGACCTAAGAGAAGCCCCAGCATTGCCTTCTTGTGGTCCAGCTCCTGGATTATCCACAGGGAAGACCTGGATACATCACTTCAATCACGCTGGAAGCTGAGTGGCAGAGAAAACAGCAACGGGGTGATGCCAACCTGTGGAGGGATGACGTAGTCTGCGACATCCCACAGCCTCTCCCCCAGCTCCGAGGTGTTGGTGAAGGCCACCCCTTTCAGCTTGGTGATGACAGAGCTCTGGAGAGATGTGTCTGTGTCCTGGTAGCCTTTCTTGACAACAAACACCCACCTGTGTGAACACAGCAGGCAGCAGCATTAGGGGGGGTTCAGGGAACAAGTCAACCAGAGGAGATTCACCCCAAGGTCAAATACCATCCAAGAGTAAATCAAAGCATGCCAATGACACCAAACCCTCTGCAACTGCTGCCACAGATACAGAATAAACTCTTTGACACAAGCTGGGCTTATCCACAGCAGGGGAATACGTAACAACTGGTCATGAGGTAAAAAACCAAAGCCTCCCCCCTCACTGTCCTGTGCTACACTCAGCAACCTCAGAAAAGGAAAGAGGGAGGACAGGGCTCTGCTTTCCTCGAGATGAGAAACAAAACAAGCTTTTGCAGGTTGCAGTGAAGAGTGTGGCTGTTTTCACAAGTGCACAACTCTCCCACTTTAGCCCCTTGTCACTGGGCTGCCAGTCAGCAACAATCCATGGCTGGGGAGATGCAACTCCTGCAGGTGAGCTGGATACTCCTAACCTGTAGGGAATATTCTCATCTGGATACAGGATCTTTTGTAAGCTGGTGTCATGGTAACAACCTGACTGCACACCTGGGAGAGCTACTGGGAGAGCTGCTGCTGCCTTGCCAAGCAGTCCAAGGAAAGGCTTTGCTTACTTCTCTTGCTGTCCTCGGCAGTGTTATCCACAGGATTGCTCCTTTAGCAGCCAGTCCATGCCAGACTGCTGAGATTTCACTAGAGCAGGCTCTGGGACTGCACAGCCTTCTATAAATAAACCCAGCACGTAAAAATGACTCTGCTATATTTAATCAGTGAAAACACGAGGTGTAAGAAAGGTGAAGGGACTCAGAAGCACAAAGAGGGTACAGACTTAGCTACCACATTCTGAAAAGCCTCAGGAAGCGATGGCACAAGCATCACATAGGTTGGATAATTCCGAGTCTGAGCCTGCAAGGACTATCACCGTGCCCATTACACACCAGTGTGACCAGCCTCTTACAGAACTGGGCCTTTCCTGAGTGCTGCTCCAGCTATTTCCATGCCAGCTCGCCCTGCTCTGAAATGAATGCAAGGCAGCCAAAATTCCCGCTGCCTCAGCCCCCACAGTCCCGGCTGCTGCAGCCCACTCCAGCAAAGAAATCTCCCACTTTCTGCTGGGTTCCCTCCCGTTTAGGCTTGAGCATGTCATGCTGTCCTGCAGATAACCCAGGTGTGTCCCAAGGCTCAGCACCGTGGCCATAAATGCTACTGTTCCTAATGAGTCAGGTGTTAAGGTTTGGCACCATTCCCACCGAACACAGAAATAAAGGTATAAATAATGCAGTACAAAGCCACAATGGCACAAGGGCTATTTTTAACCAGACCTTAATCTGAAAGGTAGAGCCGAATCTAGAGATCCCTGGTAGGTGAAAAACCAGATATAACCTACTAAACATTACAAAATCCAGCTGTACCAACATGCCTGGCTATCTGCATTAAAATCAGGAGGCACAGCAGGCTGTCTCTGTGTGCAGAGTATCCTACATTGATCTTTACACAGCACAGCAAGCAAAGGCAACCCCAGCAGCACGTGAAACACAGGGTGATCCTTACCCCACCAGGTAAGCCAGCACGGAGAGCTGCACCACTCGGTAGAGGATCCCCACCTTCTTGTTCTTGGCAATGACGTATTTCTCCGTTTTATAGTCAAAAAGCGACAGGAATAAAGCCTTCCAAGCCACCTGCCCCATGGTCCCGGCTGGCCGCGCTCCGGAGGCTGGAGCAGCGCTCGCAGCTCTCGCTCCCCACACGTGCCCTGCCTGGGAACCGACACACCAACCCCTCGCACTGATCTCCTCCCTCCTGTCAGCTGCTCCCCGCCGGCTCTCGGCTCACAAACCAGCAGCTGCGCTAAGATCAGATCCTCCCCGAGCTGCTTTCCAGCTGATTCATCCCCTGGGGAAACCCCCCCTGCCCCCATCAGTTTTGTCCCCAGGCTCCTGCCCATCACAAAATGATCAGAACTAAACACGTTATAGCATGGAACCATGTCACAGCATCCAAGGTGGCACAGTTACAGTCTCTCACTGCTAAGGATTAAAGCCTTTCTTCAGCCTTTACGGGATGACAAAGCATGGGGTTAAATTTTTAATTTCTTAAACATTCACATGTGTACTGAGGTCTCTGACAGTCACCCAAAATATCTGCCTGGCTACTACAAAAACCCACCAAATCCCCAAATTAAGGAAATAATAAATGAACTCTGCATGTGGTTAAGGATCAATCATCATGGACAATAATTTCTTAAAACTGGACCTGAGGAAACAAGCACAGGTGACAGACAGAGCAAGCAGGCTGGTCTTGTTTCAGGAAACAAGGTGGGCAAGAGGTTCCCAGCCAGGCCAGTCACACCTTACCCCAAAGGCTGTCACCCTCTGTCAGCTAAAGACCCAACTCTCAGTTTTATGAGGCTCTGGAGCTTTTGGAGCTGCCCCAATTCCATCCTCAGTCACTGCGGACCAACAGGGCCACTGATGGTCCAACCATGACACAGCAGCTGCCTTTGCTCCCCAGCTCACTGCAGCAATGAATTACAGAAGGAGCCAGAAACTTGGCTAAACTCATTTGGAGGAATATAATTTCCTGCAATTTACCTTTGTTTGCCATTAACAGTTACTGTGCTCCTGTATCTCCTTTTATTTCCATTACTAGTACTGCCAATTGTGGTACTCCCCTGCCAGATTCTCTTCCCTGGGAGAATCATTCTCAAGACCTCAGGTTTTATGAAAATGTTGTCCTTCATCCTCCTTAAATTCCATATCAAATCTAAACAGCTAGATCTGATTTTTAATGAGCGTGTGTGACAAGGTTGCTCCAAATCACAAGAGAATCACAAACAGCGTAATAAGGAAAAAACCACTCATTTTGTGCCTCATGCCAGAGCCATCCCTAGAGTTTCTCTGCAAAGCAAAAGAAGCCTTTCTCCTGCATCTGCAAAATTAGAGCACAAACCTGCCTGTGGCCTCCTTTTAACCCGGTGGCTGCTGCACTCCCCAGCCCCAGCCCCACTCTGCACTGGCTCTGTCACAAGGGGCTCCTGGGCTGAAGGGCTGCTCAGGGAGTGAGTCCCCCACTCCTGTGCACCCCTCATCCACTCCCCCACGTGTGCCCAAGGTGTGGGAGAGGCCACCCCGGCTCAGGGATAGCCCCAACCCTGCTCTCAAACACTGCAGCCACCCTTCAGCCTCAGCACAAGCTGGGGGCTGGTCCTGCTCATCTCTCCCACTGCCATGACCCCTCCTTTCCCTGCCTGCATTCCCCCCAGGGGCAGCCCCTCTTTGCTCACAAAGCATTTTGGCTGCTCCCCAAGCCCCTCCTGGAGCCCTCTTTCCCTCTCAAGCATCTGTTCTTCATGCTTTACCTCTTCCTTGATCCATATTTGGCCATTGCACCCACCACTCCTTACCAGGTTCCTACAGACCAGACCATCACTAGATCCGGTCTTAAAGGTCCTCTGTGTGAAAGCCTGAAGCACAAATAAAATCTTAAAACATACAGTAACCAAATAATACAAAACCCTCACTGAAAACACGCTCCTGCAGAAAGGAAGGAGACCACAGTGGTCCATGAATCCAGAAATGAGTAAGGAGGAAAAGTGAGCTCAGCCTGTCTTCCCTCTCCACTGCCCAAACCCCAGAGCCAGGCAGTTAGAGCTCAGGGAGACTGACCCAGCTCCAGGAACCAGAGCTGGATTGAGACAGGAACATCCTAAAGGAGCCACCACCTGATCTCCTGCCCAATCTGCTCCTAGATGAGACCTTTTGCAAGGATGTGACAGCCAAGCATAATTTCTGACCATGGGTCTGGTCCCACAGGAACACCCCCTGCTTGCCCTGGCCCTGTTGAATCTGCTCCAGGGACAGGACTAAAGAGTGAGGGTATCCCATGGCTCAGGGCTGCCTCCACCATCTCTCCTGCTACATTGAGGACACAATTAAGTACCAGAGGAGACAATTCAGCCCTTGGTGGTGTCTCAAGACCCCCCTTCTCCATCTCCATCTTCCTCATCTGTCTGGGGACTGCACAGACAGAGATCAGACCACAAAACCTGCCAGCAGTTAAACAGTGTGTTACCTCCTGGCCTGGTTTTACTTGGTGGCACAGACACAGGTCTGCTCTGAGTCTCTGTAATAATTTCCAGGTCAATTAATCTGAGAAAAGATTTACACAGGTTAGAAAAAAAAAAATGTTCCTTAGAGTGAGAAGTGTTCTGCTCTAGGTGTGGCCTCGAGATGTCAACCAGGTTTGACCACTAAAATAAAAAAAAAGAGGATGTAAAGCTGATACTTTTCTTGGTTCTTTTTAAACAACAAGCAGGAGCACAGTTGCAATAGCTGTTTTGGAACAAAAAGTTTCAACTTGTATCAAATGTGCCTCAGAATATTCTGCATACTGCTCAGTACAAGCTAAATTTTTGCTGACAAAGCTGTTGCTGCTGCTGAGCTGCAAAAACAACTTGGCTGGTACTTTTTTGAACGCTCTCACAAATATTGTTTTCATCACCTGGTTTTCACAGCCTTATTTTTTTTCTTTTCTTGCCTGGAAATCAAGTCTGCTGGTGTGTTTCTTGAACTGTTTTTGGGTGTCCAAACACAAGCAGTTTCATTTGCAGCGGGGGAGTAAATAACCTAACAAAATCAAAGCATCATCAGTGAAAGATAAAAAAACCTGTAGTTTCTCTTAGTCCTTCTCAAGGGACTGAGGCTGGATCTTCCCTGCAAGATCTCTTCCTTTATGAGTCCCACACTTTGAATTTTCCATGAAAAAAAGCCAGTTCTGCTCCATTCCCATGAGTGGTGTTTTCTCAGCCCCGAAATTCTCACAGGGGGAATCACAAACAGGACTGAAACTGCCCCTTTCTCTATTTTTTATTCCTGACATGTTACACCTGTACTTAATTCCTCACACAGTTCACAGTAATTGTCTCAGGTGTCCTGTGAGCACACGTGACTAATGACATCCCTGCCTGCCCAGACTGCTCCTCACCTACTTTCCCTCCACCTGTCAGCAGCTCCTTGGTGTTAAGCTGCCCTGGAGCTGATCTCAGCTCACTCAGGAGGCTGCAAATGCCACATTAAGGGACTGTGGAAATTAAACTTTAAACCCCTGCCCTGATCCAGGGGCATTTGAAACACAGTAAGGTCATATCTGTCTCTATGACAGTGTAGCATAGAAAGATTTCAAGATCAGCCCAGTAATATCTTTAAATTACACCCAAAGAAGACCAGATGCTTTCCAGGCAGTGGCAGAGAGCCCTGGAGGTGCCTGTTTTAGGCACTTGTTCACTTCCAGTGCCAAATAGTCACCCCCAGGCATCAATTCTCTCCATGATTCCCACTCCACCCTTCACTGACTGTCAAGTGCAACAGAAACCATCAGCTCCCAAAGGCACAGGGCTGACTCATAAATGCTGAGACATTTCTCCAGCCCTGAAATGCTCCTGCAGCAAATGTTTGAGTGATGCAGGTCCATCATCCCTCAGAAACAGGCGCCAGACCAGCTACTGAAATAGCAGAGAGAGGAGGAGGAGAGGATGTAAATAGGAGACAAGCTATTTTGGCAAGGAAATGAACAGTGGGAAGGGCAGCTCTCTCCATTAGTGGTTTCTTCTCATACTGTCATACTGGTAAGTCAACATCTACAAAAAAACAAGGTGAAGGGTTGAACAGGTTGAAAGAGGAAGTTGCTTTCAAACCACAGCTCGTACACATGGAAATCAGCACCATCAAGCATGAGCTGCTTTCTGAAGGTGATGGGTTTGGATGTAAAAAAAAGAAATGTGTGTGCAGTCCACAGTGAAAAATGCTCTGTTCAGCTTCTCTTGCAACCCTGGCTGTGACTTTGCAGGGTAAATGAGCCTCTGTGTTTGTGCTCTTAACTAGCACAGCTGCACACCCAGCCACAATGGAGAGGGAATTTGTGGAAAGAATCTGTCATTATCCACAGGAGCATCCTGAACTGTCTGTAGGAGTGAGAACTGGAAGAATTCTGAAGTTCCAGAACATATTCTGTCCTTCATTCAGCTCTTCACTTCCAGGAGAGCCATTTACAGCCTTTGAATGCATTCCAGGTTATTCCCCAAGTCTTGAATCTCCTCTACAGCGTGTAGGAGTGTCGTTATTATTAGCTGGAACATTTACCCACTCCTCTCCCCCAACCCAAGAAGGAAAGTGCTGGAGGAAGAGGAACAGAGAGGAAGGAAAAATATTGAACATCTAATGAAGCCAAGCCATCATGCCCTGTTCTGTGGCAGTGCTGGCACTGAAACAGGTAACAGGAATTAAAGTGCACATAAAACACTGCTCAGAGACTGAGTGCAGTGACAGCAGAGTTGTGCAGTGCTGCATTGCAATGAATTCACCTTCTAAAGTCAGCCAATAAAAGCATCGTTGGGAAATTATGGAATGTTGAATCCGAGCCTGAAAGCTGAATGTGTTTAATAAAATGTGTATTCACAGGAACCACTGATCTAAAGGTGAGGCCCTGCTCTTGAATACACCAGACAGATCAGTATTTACTTCTTTGTCAACACGTGTCATTCCTGACCTGGAAAGACAAGAAACTGGTCCTGGCTTGATAGCCCTACCAGAGCTTACCTTGAGGAGAAAACTTCATCCCCTTCCATCACCTTCCTCAAGGAAACAGGTAGAAAGTGTGGCCTGAGGCCTCTGTCCTTTCCTCCCTGGGATTACCAAGTGGTAACTCCTTCCAGCCATAGGGAAACACAGGTGCTGCTCAGACCTGACTCCCAGAGGAAAAGGTTTCCTGAGCAGCCCCCTCAGCCTGGCACCTGAGCTCACCCTACACCTGCTGATGGCAGAGGCTGAAGTGTCCCAGCTGTGCTGCACAGACCTACTGGAGCCAGTTTAGCCAAACTGGGAGGGAGAGGGTCAAAGGAATCTGCTTGTGGCAGGGCAGCATCATTCCAGCTCGCTCACTCTTATAATAAAGGACAGGAAATGTCTCTTTTGAGCTGCAATTCAATTACCTCCAAATAAAGCTGCCCCAACAGGCTCCTGAGCCCAGAAAAGCTCTCCTATCCGATGTTCTCATGTCAGCACCCTGCACTTAATAATGAAGAACTACTGATGCCCTTTTCCTGCTAAGCTTTCCTGAGCAGCAGAGCTCCCTTTCTCCTGCTGCCACCAGGCCATGGCATTCCCTCAGCTCCAACATGAACCCAGCAGCTTCTGAGCACACTGATGGAATTATAACCCAAGGTTTGGGAGTCTTCCTGGCATATGGGAAAGACATAAGCAGCTGGTGTCATCCCTGATTAAAGCAGCATCCCAAAACACATCCTGCCCTCCCGTGGGAAGAACGAAACGGTGAAGAAACACCAGGCTGAACACGTGATGGGACCCACGGTGGTGAAACCACGAAGCTGTGGCTCTGCAAACCCTCTGCCACCTTTGCATAAAGGTCATGAACCATCCTGACAGCTCAGAGGCCTCTGGAACATCTGCAGCAGCTTCTCTGCCCATAACACCTGGACCCCAAACAGCTGCCAACACCTTAAACCTGGCTGGGGTCGGACGTTCAACGACTCTGAAAGGGGCATCTGCACATTTTCTGTCATTCAGGGACGTGCCATAACTGTGCCACTGCCAGAGTGCACAAAAGTCAGGGCCATGCAGAGAGGCCACAAATGTTGACAAGGCTTTTGCACAGGGGATGTGATTCAAAATGCAGATTGCAAATAAATTTAGAAGCCGACACAGCAAGGCTCCCATGGAAACAGCACAAAAACCCAGCTGTGGTTTGGATGACTTGAGCCTTGGCAGTCTTGGCTAATCCCTTAAGTGCCATCCAATTACTGCAAATGTGTTTGGCAGCTGCTGCAGTGATTGCAAAGAATTAAATGGTCGGATGGCACTCACCGGAAATTACAAGTCACAGAACTCTGTAATGCATTTAAGAAAAAACATCTAAAAAGGAAAATAGCATTACCCACTGCAAGAGCTGACCTCCTTGAGAGCCTTCAGGGACAACAAAAGGGATCCAAGTAATCAGGGAAACTTAATTCAGAGAAGAAATTATGGAAAAAAAAGAAAAAAAAGGAGAGAAAGATTGTTTGTTAGTTTTGCATCAGACAATATTGGTTAAACCAAAGGAGACAGGAACTTTTTTGTCTTCTGAAGGTCTGAATGAGTAATCTTTGTTTAATCTACTGCTGTCTATAAACACATTAGATCTGTGGGGTTTATGGTCAAGCAAACATGACAGAAATAAAACAACCACACAAATAGGGACAGAGATAGGAACACTACCAAGTGTCCATCTTTGTCCTTCTTTAGAATCAGCAAACACTTGAGAGGGCCTGAGATCATTCTGCTGCTCAGGAAAAACACCTGGTCCTGGTTAAAGCCAACCACAGGGTCTGGCCAGGCATCTTCTTTCCCCAAACTCTCTACATTGCTGATTAACCTGCAGCTGATAAACCACCAGTGCCGATCTTTCAGATTAAAAAACATGTCTTCACCAGGGAAAGAGAGGGAATATTGATGTTGAAATCCCTGAGAGGACAGGAGGCCTCAGTGTTGGCTGCATCAGTACAGAGTTCAATAAAGTACCCTAAAAGCTTTTCTGATCTGCACTAGCAAATATCCTCCCTCTGCTTCTGTCCTACAGTCAAAACCTGATTTCACTAAACTCAGTGGCAGAACAAAAGGTCCAGAATTTAACTCTGGGACTTGATTAGTTCTCTAGACTCAGCAAAACCACCAGGGTGTCCCACTTGTTCCTGCCCCAACAGAAGGGCCCAGCTGCCTGTGTGATCCTCACATTTCCTCTTTCAGACCCAAATCGAGTCCTCTGCTCAAGGTGATTTTTCCAGGGACGAGCAGAACAGTTCAGCTTTTTAAGAACTATGGAAAAAGAAATAAAAGGAACGAAACCTCAGCTGCTTTTCAGCAAAGCCTCACTCAGACTGTAAGAACCACACGGTCCTGTGCTGCCACCAAGCTGTGTCCCGTGTCCATAGCCTGAGTTATGGCTGTGACAACACATATACATACATACATATACATACACATTCTATAAAAATGTAATACAGAATTACATTCTATGCACATGTATAGAACACATGTATACATATATATACACCTGTGTGCACATGTATAAATACATGTATAGATATAGATATATACATGAATGCACATGTGTAGAATACAGGTATAAACATATATACATACACATGTACATGCATGCACATGTATACAATGTATGTATACATATATACACACACATATATACATGTATGCACATGTATAGAATACATATATACACATATATGTATGCACATGTATAGAATACATGCATACATATATATATATATGCACATGTATAAATACATGTCTACATATACACACACGTATGAGCACGTACAGAACACACACGTAAAGCTAGTCCTGCCGTGACGTGTCCCTGCGGGCCTGGATGGAGCAGCGCTGGCACCGCCCGTGCCGGGGGCTCTGACAGGCAGCGGAGCGGGTCTGTGACACGGCA